ATTAATTAATTAATTAATATTTAAGCTGGCTGTGGTTGAAAGAAGGACGGTAGTCAGTGATGGCGATGATAGGTTGGGCTACACTCTTCGGGGACAATACACTCATGCTGCTGCTGCTACTACTGCTACTGCCGGACAGTAATTACTGGGCCATGATGGGAAGGGTCACTTCGCCGAGCGGGGGTCCTTCCTTGAATAAGTGAGCGGCATCTACTGCGTCCGGGGGTGCTTCCTTGAACTGAATGACAAATTTGTCCTCCTTCGGTGGTCCGGCTGTACGTGTGATCTCGATTGGTGAGGCTGCTCCCGCTTCAACGAATCCGTAGACCGGCTTCAGACGATAATCGTTATTGTTCGTTGACTTCACCTACAAAAAAATTTCATCAAATTTTTATCTGTTCTTCTTACAACTGCAAAAGACTTGTTCGCCTGGGATTTTCCAGGATAGCTGTCAACTGAAGAAGCGGTGCCATTTAGAATGAAAATAAGAGGAGAGGTGACTTTTTATTACCTTGAATGCTAGGCGAACACCACTCGGATTGGCAAGCTGGTGCGTGCACTGGCCACCGCCAGCTGCAACCGTTGCGGCCGGTGGGTCGATGTTCAGCGTTGGCGGTCCAGCTGGCGCCGGTGGTGGTGGTGGTGGTGCTGCTGCTCCTTCTGGCGCTGGCGGCGGCGGTGCTCCTCCTTCTGGTGCTGGTGCCGGCGGTGCACCTTCTGGTGGCGGTGGCGGTGGAGCATCACCCATTTTGTTGCGTTAGATTTACCTGAAAAACCAGAAAAACAACATTCCCTAGAGACAAAAGAATTCGCAAAGGCACCTGAAAAAAGTTGGGACACCGAGCAACCAGTTACTCATTCGCAATTCAAAATCCACAGCTCATTCAATTTTTTATCTTCTCCGGCATTAGCATGACCCAAATACATAGAACGCCTCCTCCGCACCAGTTGCCCGGAGCCCCATGCTTAGTCCGATCAGAGGAATCGCCTTATGAATGTGAAGAAAATCAACTGGAAACAACCTGTAACTGAATCGAATGAAGCAAAAACTGACTCCCACGAAGGAATGGCCCATTTTATAATTCCTGAATATATTACGGTTATGCAAATTTAACGTTCTCTCAACATCCTTTTGATTTATACAACAAACGGTTCATGCAAGAGCGGTTACTTTTGTGTACCTGTACATTGTTTCTGCACATTTCACCTATCGACTCATGCACAGGTTAATTTTATTAATTTTTATGCGTTCTTGCATTTTTTTTGCATTGTTCCTCGCAGGTTTTTGCTGCTAACGACACTGTTTTTTCCAGTAGATGCTTCTTGCTAAAAGAATTGAGACTGGTTGCCAGAACTGTCAGAAAACAGCCCTTTAAAAATCCAGCATTCTGGCTTCTCGGGTTCTCGAGTTAGCAACGTACCGGTAAAAAACTCTCGCGGGCCCAATGCGTTGGAACCGCGCAAACTTTCGCGTGGTTCCAACTGGAGGCTGGGTTTGAACTCGTTGAGTTTTATGTGAACGGGGAATAATCCCTTAAAATTTCAGCTTTCTAGCTTTTTTAGCAAAAAACTTTCACGGACCTCATCGGCATAAGGCTATCGCGGGCCGTGCGCTGGAACAATTTGGACAAGGGCGGTCATTGTGGGTATGTTGACCCGCAAGTGCATGTAGATTAAGTTCCCGAGGTTCCAGCCCTATAGCTTTTGTAAGTCTCGGGATAAAAAATCGGTACGAACGAACACAGAGACGCACACACACACACACACACACACACACACACACACACACACACACACACACA